TGTCCACCTTCGAGTCAGTTGTCGCAGCAGAAGAACGCATCGACGCAGTACGAAGCCGACGGGGTCGTGACGATCGCGATAGGGGATACAACAGATCGATCAACGACGCTCGATCGAGGGACGGACCGTCGCCCATGGAGATTGGTGCAGTTAACAGTGACGGCTCACAGCAAACGGGATTTAAGGGGAACTGTCACTACTGCAAAAAGCCGGGTCACATGAAGCGGGACTGCCCACAGCTTAAGGAGCGGCAGCAGGGAAACGGAATCCGCCAGTAGATAGCGGGTCGCTAGCTGGTGTGGAGGCTTCCGAACCCGCCACGTCTACCAACGTAGAGGAGACTGCTTTAGAGCAGTCATCTACGCCGAACTCGGTAGACACTGTTGATCGTCCAGTCATGCTTCTAGGGAAGCTTCGCAGTGTTCCAGTCAAGATTCTCGTAGACAGCGGAGCTAGCCACCCGTTCGTGTCTTCATCGCTAGTTACTCGTCTCCATCTCGAAGCAGATTCAGCAGTCAACTTCAAAGATGCTCGCATGGTAGATGGGACGCCTCTTCACATAGGACCGATCATCCGCAAGTTGCGCGTAGTGTCAGAATCCCAACCACTAGACCATTGGGATAAAAGGGCTTGTTAAGTACCAGGTCAGTGCGCCCATAACCCCCCAGGACAACGAGCCTGTAACCCTTCCCTAGGATCAATCGGGGATCACCAGTGGACCTCTGACACCCCCCCGCACTGGGATGCCCGAAGTGCGTACACCGGGATTCGAACCCGAGACCTTCGCTCTGATACCATGTCAGAATCCCAACCACTAGACCATTGGGATAAAAGGGCTTGTTAAGTAGCGGGTCAGTGCGCCCATAACCCCCCAGGACAACGAGCCTGTAACCCTTCCCTAGGATCAATCGGGGATCACCAGTGGACCTCTGACACGTAGTGCTAGGACCGATCACAGCGTGATTTCGATTCTGCGACGCTGGATGGATATGATTTCATCTTCGGGAGAGATTGGCTACGGACGGTTAGTACACAATTCGATTGGGCTCAGGGAAGCTGCAGCGTCAAGGTAGACGAGGGGTTCCGAGAGCTGCCACTGTGGAGTGATGGGTGCACATCTTCCACAGCCATCATCAATGCTGTTCGTGTGCGGCAGCTGGTGAAGCGAGCAGCACGGATCTTCGCGGTTTTCCTTGAGGAGGTGGAAGCAGAGGAGGGGGAAGAAGGGAGCGCAGCAGTTAGTGAGAAGGCGACTCTTCCTGCTGAGGTGAGTGCACTGTTAGCAGAGTTCGCAGACGTCTTCCCTGACGAGTTGCCCCCAGGGTTACCTCCCAGCCGAGCAGTAGACCATCGAATAGAGTTGGATCCGGGGAGTAGGCCAGTAGCAAAGCCACAGTGAAGGTTGAGTCCAGCAGAGACAGAAGAGATGACGCAACATGTTAGGCATTTTCTCGCGCAGGGTTTCATACAGCCATCTAGATCGCCTTGGACAGCACCGATCCTTTTCGCGCCTAAGAAAGACGGAGGGTTACGGATGTGCATAGATTACCGCGCACTGAACGCCGCCACTGTCAAGAATAGGTTCCCAGTGCCGAGAGTAGAGGATCTTCTCGATGCAGTGCAGGGCACTAGAATCTTCTCCAAGATCGATCTTCGCTCAGGGTATCATCAGATTTGAGTAGTTCCAGAGGACCAGGACAAGACGGCGTTTCGTACGAAGCAGGGGTTGTACGAGTTTAGAGTTCTACCGTTCGGTTTGACCAACGCCCCAGCGACGTTTCAGACGCTCATGAACACAGTCCTCTCCGAGTTCCCAGGGTCGTTCGTTGTAGTTTACCTAGACGACATCCTAGTCTTCTCCAAGACGAAAGAGGAGCACGTGCAGCACTTGCAGAAGGTTTTTTAGGTCTTGCGGAAGGAGCAGTTGTACGCTAAGCAGTCGAAGTGCGAGTTCTTCCTCCCCGAGGTCGAGCTTCTAGGTCACATCGTATCCGCTAGTGGCATTAGGACCGACCCGAAGAAGATCGCAGCAGTACAGGATTGGATAGCACCGACCTCAGTCAAAGAGTTGCAGAGCTTCTTCGGATTCGCTAATTATTACCGTCGTTTCGTTCACGGTTACGCTTCCATCGCTAGTCCACTCACCGACCTACTTTGGAAGGGCGTAGAGTTTCTTTGGGGTCCAGCGCAGCAGCAGGCGTTCGAGCAGATGAAGCAATCGCTTATGTCTTCACCGACACTGTCGTATCCCGACCCTACTCGCCTGTACGTTGTAGTGACCGACGCTTCAGATCAGGCCATAGGAGCAGTGCTTCTTCATGACCAGGGACGCGGGTTGCAGCCGATAGCGTACGAGTCGCGTAAGCTTAGGGGAGCGGAGTTGAAATATCCCATACACAACAAAGAGGCGCTCGCGATCATCCATGCGTATAAGGTGTGGAGGTGCTACCAAGAGGGGGCAGATAGTGTTATATGCACGGACCATTGCTCGTTTCGTTTCCTCAAATCGCAGCCGCAGCTGAGTCGTCGCCAGGCTAGGTGGATGGAGTTCATGGAGGGGAGTTTTCACTAAAGGATAGAGTACAAGCCAGGCATACGCAACCCAGCAAACCCGCTCACTCGCCCTAGTTGCCAGCTCGCTAGTCTCACAGTCACTGCCGGCCATCCACTTCTGACAACACTTTTCGAGCACGGTTACACAGTAGATTCCGACTTCGCACCGCAGCCACCTGCACGAGCAGAGGTGCAGGGTAGTGTCTACATTCAGAAGGGGACAACACGGATTTGGGTTCTCGCCTACCGTCCTCTTCGACAACTTCTTCTTTCCGAGGCACACGATGAACTTGTACTCTTCAATTCTTTCGAGCAGCGCACTTCATCCCCACGGACGGCAAGGTCACAGCTGAGGAAGTCGCGACGCTGTTCGTAGATTACGTAGTCCGACTGCACGGGGTTCCAGATTCCATCATTTCCGACTGCAACCCTCGTTTCACATCAAAGTTCTGGAAGCAGCTTTTCGCACTGTTTGGGACTCGCTTAGCCATGTCATCTGCGTACCATCCAGAGACAGACGGACAGACTGAGCACGTGAACTAGACTGTGGAGCAGATTCTTCGCAGCATCACGATGCACGACGCAGCCGCATGGGACAAGAAGCTGAGCATGGCCGAGTTCGCATACAACAACACGCACCACTCGTCCACAGGCATGTCACCGTTCTTCGCACTGTACGGTCAGCACCCCAATGTCCCCACTCGTGTCGATCTCACTCCCACAGTCCCTCGTGCGGACAACTTCCACCAGCATCTCACCTTCATCCATGATCACGTGATGAAGCACCTTGAGCTCGCAAATGCACGCATGGCACGCACCACCAACCGCAGTCGTCGTGAGGTGTCGTTTTCAGTCGGCGACCGTGTTCTCTTGGATAGCCGCAACCTCCGGCTGCCGCAGGACAGCAAGCTTCGTCCACGTTTCATTGGTCCATTCGTCATTGAGCGTGCACTTGGTCCAGTCGCATACCGCCTCCGCTTTCCCGCTCATTTCCCCATGCACTCGTCATTCCACGTGTCGCTTCTTCGTCCTTACACCGATCCCAACGCCACCTTCTCGGGCCGTGACTGCACTCCACTGCCGGTAGCTGTTGACACCGACGAGCCCGACTATCAGATCCAGCGCATCCTCAGGCACCGTCGCCGTCTCCAGGGGGGTGTCTCTTTCATCGACTTCTTGGTTCGTTGGCGTGGTTACGACGCAGCAGACGACAGCTGGGTTCCTTCGTCCTCGCTGTCTCCCGACAACGCTTGCCTCCAAGCGTACCTCCAGTCTGCAGGCGCCGTGGACGTCGCCTCCTTGGGAGGGGGGTAGTGTTAAGGGGGGATTTACTGTTCACTTTCAACAGTACTTTCCAACTCACCCTTATCCTTATCTTCCTAGATTTCCTAGTGCCACGTGGCACTCTACTTTCTTTGCCTTCTAGTTCATAGTCCCACAACCCACTTTCCCACAATTGCTCTTGCGTGCTATATAAACCTTGCTTCTATTCCCTCATATCAATCAATTCTCATTCAACTCTTCAATTACTTAGTAATTTTTTCGCCTCTTTCGCCAATAGTTCTTTAGCCAAAGTCTTCCGCCGCGTTTTTATCCTCGACTTAGTCGACCCCGCTATTCTTTAGCGGATTTAGGCCAAGGGGCCTAACAGATTAAACATATGTCTAGAAGCATCCACAATCTCAACCCTAACAATTCAGGGTGGCTGGCTAGTGGCTAGCCTTCAGGCGCAAGCCCTTGATAATTCGAAGCGCTCACGTTTCTATCGCGACCGCATGAGCCATAACACACGCTCGGGTGGTTCTTTGTGAAAGACGTGTTAGCGATCGAACGTCAACGTCGCCGATTCCTCCGACCAATCAAATAGGTCTTTCTTTCGAGCACGCGACCCCATTGGATGCGCCGCTGAGCGAGCTCTGACCGGATCGTGTGTTCGAATCGCTCTCATGGAGCTTGCATATCGTGCATTTGCGCATCGATCACACTTGGCGGCTCGAATTGTTCCACAACCCCTTGAGATTTCTGAACTTGTTGACGATGACGGGCCCTTATTGCCGGCGATTGTCGCCAGCGGCAAATTGGCCTGACGAACACGGTTACCATAGTGGAATTCTACGATATCGCGAAAGCAGAGACTCACCAGCCACTGCGAAACGTGGAACGTGGAACGTGACACAGCACAACTCGTGCTTGTGGTTGAAGCTTGCTTCGACCTCTCCCTCCCACCCAACCTAAAAAAACAGCAGCATCCCACAGCTCACCCCGTTGACCCTACTCACCGACCAAAACGCTACTTCAAATTCTGGTTGTTGCTGTTACGCCTTCAAACAGCTAGGTGCTAGCGTATACACCCAGCTGCTGTTAGGGACCCGTGCCTGTCTTACTGGTTCGCTACCATTGCTTGCCTTGTGTTTTAGCCTAAGAGTATTCAACATTTTCCCAGCACCATGAGGTTGTTCGCTCGTTCCGCGTCTGTATGCCTGTCCGTTTTGCTGTGTTGCCTAGCATTTTCCGTAGCATTCGCTGACGATGCGCAAGTAAAAACCGGATTTATTCTCTGTGAGGATTTTGGCGAGCACGCAGCGGCAGCAGCTACTGTGCATAACATCTCCGTCTGCGCCTTTGTTCTGCAAGGCGAGCCCGTCGACCTGGACCTCACCCCCTCTGCGACCACCAGCGCCCCTGCGATCGTCGGCGATGAGTTTTCGCTTCGTCGAAACTTGCTAGGCGGCGGCGCGACGCCTGTTGCGGTCCAGTTGGCGCAATCGCTGCTGGGAAATGCGGGGACGATCCGAACTCAGGCGACGACGGGGGCGGGTTGGACGGTTCTCGGCTCCATCCTCACGGAGGTACGCCTTGAAAAAAATCTCTGCATTAAGGTGATTTCTGAGGCGCCTAAAAAATCACCGCGACGGGGGCGTGTTGGACGGTTCTCGGCTCCATCCTCACCGAGGTACGCCTTGATAAGCATCTCTTAAAACGAGTATGGATATGTTAAACCCATCCTAGTTAAGCAATAGGCGATCTCACATGGGTCTTTCACGGATTTCCACGTTCGCTGTATGTGATATGAAGATGGTAAGGTCAATCCAGGATCGAGGTGTTTCAGAACCAGACTAGCCTCTAGATACAGTGCTTGAGCTGTTGTCGTTATTGGCTCGTCTCGCCAACCGCGGTTAATTTTTTGTATTGTCAACCCCTCTTGCTCCTTTTGTGTATCTCAGACGCAACTGATTACCAAGAGCCTGCTCTGGGCGATGGAACTTTTGAGTCGACTCAAGTCATCTTGTTTCCCTTGTCCCTCTGACTTGTTGTGTATATCAGTCGCTGCTGATCAGCAAGAGCCTAGTCTGGGCGATCAAGGATTTGATGGATATGTACCGCACGCGCCCACGATCCGCGCAAAAGCTTCAGGACGCGACTCGCAACGTTGATCGCGCGTACTCCAACCAGCAGACGCTGCTGTTAGTGCTCAACAGAAACCCTCAGACGCAGCAATTCGAGCAACTCTCTATCATACGCGATACCGTCGCGTCCATGACCCCCAAGTTCAAGCAGCTGCTCTCTCTGCTCGCCACGTGGCGCCAGCAGCAGCTTCACGCCATAACTCGCCTGCACTTCGCTGCAGAACCTGCCAGCCTCGCCGTCACCCAGGCCGCGCCAGCCGCACCAGCAAAAGGAAAGGGCGGCTCGAATATTGTGGTGACTCTTGATGACGATGATGATGATGACGACGACGAGGATAAGAAGGACAGGAACAAGAAGGACAAGAAATCGCCGCCGAAGAAGAGCCCTCCCAAAAGCTCGTCGGGTTCAAATTCGGGGGGCAAGGGTTCGAAACCGGGCAAGAAGGCCAAGGTTGGGGCGACTCAGATGATCAACGTGGTTGTGGCGGCAGACGGCAGCGGAGATTACAAGTCGATTCAGGCCGCTGTGGACGCGGCTGGACCAGGTTCGACGATCCGCATCAAGGCGGGAGTGTACAAGGAGCAGATCCAGGTCAGCACGGATCGCATCACGATGATTGGAGCTGGGATGGATCAGACGGTTATTGTGTACGACGCCAGCCAGACCCGGGGTTACGATATTATCACCTCGGCTACAGTCGGTAAGTGCTACGATCATCCAGAAATTCAAATGTTGGCAACTCAAATTACTGATCTGATAATTTTGTTTGCAAATGATGCACGTGGCAGGAGTCAACGCGGATAGGTTTGTCGCGATGAGCATGACGATTCGCAACTCAGCTGGCATGGCAGGCCAGCAGGCCGTGGCGCTCCGTGTCGACAGCGATCAAGCCGCGTTTTACCAGCTCCGGATTTCGGGATTTCAAGACACCCTGTTCGCCAGCACGGGTCGCCAGTACTACACGAAGTGTTTCATCGACGGGGCTGTGGATTTCGTGTTCGGCGACGCGGCGGTTGTGATTCGCAATTCGCAATTGAAGGTCCAGGCGTCGCAGTATGACACGACAATCACCGCGTCGGGTCGCCTGAGCAAAACGTCCAACACCGGGATTGTCGTCATGGACAGTCGCGTGGTGTCGTTCGCGCCGCGCGTTTTCCTTGGGCGACCGTGGAAGGACTACGCGACGTCGGTGTTCATCAACACGTGGCTCCCGAATGTAAGCACGACACCAGCTTCGTCAGAATCTCGCTGACGGAGCGGTGTCCGTCGTCAACACTTAGTTGACCCATCGGGTAACAGAGTCAGGCGTCAGGTTACCATGCGTAACATCGCCGACGCTGTCTGATAAAGCCTTTCCCTCGTGGAAAATATAACGCGCATGGGTTTCGTGTCCAAGCCTTTCCCGTACCGCCGTGTGTTTTTTCGTGAAGGTGCCAAGGTGTGAACCATGCGCACTTCCCTGCGATCTCCCTCGCGCTTCGCCCCACCTTCCGCCCCCCTCCCCCATCCTCCTGTCCCTTACCGTCCTCCCCCGCTCCCCCTCCGCAGAAAGTTGTTGCGGACGGCTGGATGACGTGGGCCGGCGAGACGTACGGCGGAAAGCCATTTCTGGCGGAGTTCAACAGCAAGGGACCCGGCGCCAAGCCTTCTCGTGTCAAGTGGGCCAAGCCCGGCGTTACATCAGGTGGTGCCGTCAGCCAGTACAATCCGAACAGCTTCATCCAGCTCCAATCGTGGATTGGCGCCACCAAGATTCCCGTCTGAGCAGGCGTTCGCGTGCATCCGCGTTAGAGAGCGGTCCCGTGATGCGTTAGTACGGAAATCGATCTGGGGTACAGACCTTCCCAAACCCGAAAGACTGGCGTTATGCTCAGGTCTTCGCTTCTGCTTCTTACTGGCGCCACCCTTTCCTCCTTGTAACGTCTATGTTAACTAGTTGGGAAACAAGGTCTGTTCTGTAGCTTTCTTAATAAATGGTGGACTGGCGTCATGTAAGTCCCTATTGCACTATCATATATTATCTGCTTATTTTTGTAAAATTCTAGCCCACTTACACGCATCTACACTCATTCTAGCATGATATGGCATTGTATTACGAGTGCAATTGAGTGAGCGAGAATTGCACTATCGAAGCAAGAGTACAATGAGCGAAGGCATGAGCGAAGAATATATAGCGAAATTGCAGTGGTAACGGTAATGAACTGTGGTTGTCGCGCGACGGGCCTGGGACTGAGGCTTGGGGAATTGTCGAAGCGGAGGCCCGGAGCGCGGGTTACCCGCCGAGCCGCGAGGTCGGGGTGCGACGTGCGAAGGTGGCGGGAGGATTTGTCGATGCGATGGTTGCGAGTGGTAACGGTGCTGACTGTGGTGCTACAGTGGTGTACGCGCTGAGTGGGGACGCGAAGTAAGGAAAAGGAATTTTCCTTACACCAAGGAGGTCCTAAGGAGGTCCTCCTTACGAAAGCGCGTGTACATCCCTGAAGTTTCTGCTGCGCAGATACTCGGTGAGGACGGGGTGGTTTTCGATTCTGTCCAGAGGAACCCAGTTGTCTTCGGTGGGTGTACGGTCTTTCCAGCGGATCAGGAACTCGATCCTTCGGGCTCCTCGAGGGTCACGAACTCTGTGGCTCATAATTTTCGCGGGGTTGATGATTGGTTCAGTCGGCGGTCGTGTCATGCTGGCGGGCCGATTGCGTGACAGTTGGCTTGTGGACGGGACGTAAGGGCGAAGCAGGCTGACGTGGAAGGAGAGGCTGACGTACCAGTCAGCGGGGAGGAGGAGGTGGGCGGTGACGGGCGTAATCATGTGGCTAATGCGGAATGGCCCGCAATATCGGGGGCGGAGTTTTGGGGTGATGGGCAGTCTGAGGTTCTGAGTGTCGTGTAAAACTAGGTCGTCAGGTTGGTAATGTCAAATTATATATACTTGTTTAGGTTATCTAGGCTGCATGGGGGTTAGCACTAAGGGGTACAGAAACTTTCTCCATACCCTAGTCTTGTACCCACCCTTTCACCTAATTCCATCATCCTTGCCTTAGTTCTTAACATGGTAACTAGAGCAGGAGGTCTCTAGGACCTACGAATCGGGCCCACCTAACTGCCTGCCTTGCCTACTGCTCGCGCGCGCCTCGGCTGCAGCGCGCGTCACTTTTTTTTTCCGCGCGCGCCTCGGTTTCTAGCGCCCGCGTCACTTTTTTATAGCGCGCGCCACTACTGCAGAGCCGCGCGCCGGCCCGCGTCGCCCGCGCAGCCCGCGTAGAGCTCGCGCGCCCCTTACGCCGCCCGCGCGCAGCCTGCTTAGGCCCGTCGCCGCATGCAGCCCGCAGCTGCGCGCGCTGCCCGTCGCCACGTGCAGCCAGGAGCCGCGCGCAGCACGTAGCCACGCGCAGCAGAGAGCCGCGCGCAGCCCTTAGCCGCACGCAGCCAGCAGTCGCGCGCGCCCTACTCGTGTACCTCCCTGTGAGGCTCACTGCTGCCGAGCCCGTTGCCTTAGAACTGTGCGGCCTGCTACTGTCTAGAGCCCCACCTTAGGAGCTCAAGTGCAGCAAGCTACTGCCCTGCACGTTGCCTGTACTGCCTACTGTCTACTGCCTCTGTCTTAGCCTGCTGTCTACTGCCTCCTGCCTCTGGTCTACTGCCTACTGCCTCTGTCTTAGCCTGCTGTCTACTGCCTGCTGCCTCGTGTCTACTGCCTGCCTGCTTTCTGCTGCCTTTGCCTGCTGCCGTTATGACGACGCCTAATGTTCTTGCGTTCGAACCTGACGGTCGCCCCATAGAGTTCGCTGTGTGGCTAGACGACCTGCAACTGTTCCTTCTGACCGATGCCAAAGAGGGCGTTTCACTGTTCGATTACGTGCCTGGCACTGCCGTTGCTCCTGCTGCCGATGCTCCTGCTCTCGAACGCTCGCAGTGGCAGACTCGTGATGCTGCTGCACGCCTAGCTATTAGGAACCATCTGCCGATCACTGAGCGCGCGCATTTCAGCCAGCACAAAACTGCTAAGAAGCTGTACGACGCTGTAGTTGCACGCTACTCCTCCCCGGCCACTGCAGCCATAGGTCGACTCATGCTACCCTACCTGTTCCCCGACCCTTCCTCGTTCACCACTGCTGAGGACCTCATTTCCCACCTGCGCGCTACTGACACTCGCTTTCGTGCCGCCCTTTCAGCCGAGTTCTGCGCCGCTAACCCCCCCCCCCCCCGATGTACTTCACTCTCTATTTCCTCGTCACCCGCCTCCCTGACACTCTTAGCTCAGTCAGGGACCACTTCCTCGCGCTAGACCCCCCCACTCTCACTGTCGACGACTTCAAGAAGCACCTCCTCGCAGCAGAGAAGAACATCCTCGCTGTAGGTGCTGCTCGTGGCACTCCTCGCTCTCCCCTCTTTGAGGGGTGCTCCCCCTCCCCTCTCACCCCCTCCTATGCCTCCGCAGCTGCTGCTCACGACTACCTTGGTGCTGAGGAGGTCGGGGCTGCTTCCGCTCCTAGTGGGAAGCGTCGCAGCGGCAGGGGCGGCAAGGGTGGCAGGGCAGGTGGGGGCGGCGGTGGAGGTGGCGGTGGTGCAGGCGGCGGGGGCGGTGGAGGTGGTGGGGGTGGTCGTGGGGGTGGAGGTGGTGGAGGTGGTGGTGGTGGGGGCGGCGGAGGCACTGGGGGCGGTGGAGGGGGCAGCAGCGGCGGTGGGGGAGGTGGGAGCGGTGGTGGCAGTGGTGGTCAGGGCCAGCAGCAGCCACAGCAGCAGCAGCAGCAGCGTCAGCGCCAGACCCCCACTTCCTAGCAGCTTCTTGACTGGTATGCCGGGCGTGGGGCTTCTGGGGGTCCTGGTCGCTGCCCCTATATCATCCGCACAGGTCCCCGCGCTAATCGCCAGTGCACAGGGTTTCACACTGAGCAGCGCTGCTTCGCTCGACTTAGCGACGCCTGGCGCGCCAAGTTTCCTGATGCTACTGAGTTCCCCAACTGGGCAGACTTGCTTAGGCGTGATGTACCAATCTTTGATCTTGACTATGAGGCTATTCTTGCTGCTATGTATGCATTGACTGTTAGTGCTGAGGGTGACTGCTACTTGTGTGTGCCGCCGGATCCTGGTATAGCCCCTGGTATAGCCCCTGCAGCACTAGGTGCTTGTGAGTCTGCTCCCCTTGGTACTGCGCCTGCACAGGCTTTGCACACCTTTACACTTGACTCTGGTGCTTCCCGCTGTTTCTTTTGCGACAGTACCACAGTCACTCCCCTTCCTGCACCTGTTCCTGTCTCATTGGCTGACCCCTCTGGGGGCCCAGTGCTTGCACGGTCTTCCACTGTGCTTCCGTGTCCGGCGGTCCTGTCTGGTGAGCTGTCTGGTCTCCACCTCCCCTCGTTCTCTACGAACTTGGCGAGCAACGCCGTCCTCCAAGATGCGGGTGTTGACACCTTCACCCCTGGCCGACAGCGTGTGGCGATCTGCACGTGCTCCCAGACCGGCCGCCACCTGGCCACGTTCACCCGTGCGCCAGGGTCCAGTCTGTACACCCTCACCACTGAGTCACGCTCCACCCCTTTGTCTCCCCAGCTGCACGCGTCTGCTCAGGTAGCTACCCAGTGTGAGTGTCGCCGGCTGTCTCACGACACCCTCCTGTGGCACCACCGCCTGGGCCACCCCTCCCTGCCTCGCCTTCGTAGCATGCACTCTCGCTTTCTGGTTTCTGGTCTTCCCAGGTCTCTGCCTGCCCTCCCTCCCTCGCCTGCGCCGCCCTGCATTCCTTGCGTCGAGGGGCGGCAGCGCGCCACTCCTCACTCCTCCTCATTCCCTCCCACAGAGGCTCCCCTGCAGACTCTCCACCTGGACGTGTGGGGCCCAGCCCGCGTCCGTGGACAGGGCCACGAGCGGTACTTCCTGCTGGTTGTCGACGACTACACGCGCTACACCACGGTCTTCCCCTTGCAGCGCAAGGGGGATGTCCCTGATGTTCTGATCCCCTGGATCCGGGCTACTCGTCTCCAGCTCCGCGAGCGGTTCCAGTCGGACTTTCCTGTCCTGCGTCTGCACTCTGACAGAGGTGGTGAGTTCTCCTCAGACCTCTTGGCGGCCTTCTGTGCGGAGCACGGCATCCGCCAGACTTTCACGCTTCCGGCCTCTCCGCAGCAGAATGGGGTTGCTGAGCGCCGCATTGGCTTAGTCATGGAGGTCGCTCGTACCTCCATGATCCATGCGGCTGCCCCCCATTTTCTGTGGCCGTTTGCGGTCCGGTACGCCGCGCATCAGCTCAACCTTTGGCCCCGTGTCTCCTTGCCGGAGACCTCGCCCACACTGCTGTGGACGGGGAAGGTTGGCGACGCGTCGCGTTTCCGGGTCTGGGGTGCTCGTGCCTTTGTTCGCGATACCACCGCGGACAAGCTCTCCCCTCGCGCCATTCGTTGCGTCTTCCTTGGCTTTGTCCCTGACGCGCCTGGCTGGCAGTTTTACGACCCCGCCTCGCGCCGTGTCTTTGCGTCCCAGGACGTCACCTTTGACGAGTCAGTCCCCTTTTACCACCTCTTCTCCTACCGCACTGCTCCTCGCCCTCTCCCGCCGCTCTTTCTTGCCCCAGGTCCTCCCCAGGTAGACCCCCTCCCCGCGCCAGGTCCTGCTCCTTCATGTGTTTCTCAGGTAGACCCTCTCGTCCCTGCGCCTGTTGAGGTCACTGGTGACTCCGGTCCTGCTGGTGGTGGTGCTGTCCCTGGGGGTGCGGAGCTTGGGGGTGTGCAGCGTGGGGGTGCTGAGTCTGGGGGCGCTGGGCGTGAGGG